CATTCTTTCAATAATCCTAATGCTAGAAATTTATTAATTATGGTCTCTATTCTCTTTTTATCTTCCARTTTTAGGGGATATTGTTTCTTAGCTACTGGTCTGTAATTCAGTTATTTGTAATTCAATTTGTAATTCAATTGTTTGTAATTCAACTGTTTGTAATTCAGTTTTGTTAGGGTAAGCTAACCCTAGAGGGTTTTTTTTTTCACTCACTCTTGAGTTTTGGAGGTTTTCATGGACTCCAGATACTTGGTGAGATCTAGAGATGGACTTGGGCAGGAAGAACCCCCCAGCCCTCTCACACTTTGTATTTCCTCCAAACCAGGATTTCCCATTCGCAAACTTTGGCCAGATGGAGGAGGAGGAGGCTGTGAGGAAGAGGAGGATGCCCCAGGACCCCCAGGCAGGTGAGGAGGAATTCACTGTTCCTTTTCCCCCTCTCTTCTCCTCCGTCTCCCAGCCCGGCATTGTCCCCGGCTCCAGGACAATCCCACTGCCGACACCGTCCTGCTGGGGATGGACTGGGGGGATCTCCTTCCCCTTCCCTCTGGCACCGAGCAAATCCCATCATCTCCTTGTCCTTCCTCCCACAGGCAATGAGCTGAGGATGGAGAGCAAGGAGGAAAAATCCCTCCAGCAGAACCTCATGGAAGAGGCCGTTCTGAGCGGCTCCACAGCACAGGAATCCAACAGGGAGGAAAAGCCCCAGAGATCCCACACACAGAGGGACCCCAAACCCATCTCAGGGTGCTCTGAGGGGGAAAGACCCACCCAGTGCCAGGAAGGCTCTCAGAGCTTCAGCCAGAGCTCAGAGCTGGGGGTCCATGAGCAGCTTCACGCTGGGGAGAAGCCCTACAAGTGTAGGGAGTGTGGGAAGAGCTTCAGCTGGAGCTCCAGCCTGGTCCGTCACCAGCGCATTCACACCGGGGAGCAGCTCCACGAGTGTGAGGAGTGTGGGAAGAGCTTCTGCTGGAGCTCCAGCCTGGTCCGTCACCAGCGCATCCACACCGGGGAGCAGCTCCACGAGTGTGAGGAATGTGGGAAGGTCTTCAGGCACAACTCCAGCCTGATCGTCCACCGGAGGAGCCACACTGGGGAGAGGCCCTACGAGTGTCCCGAGTGTGGGAAGAGCTTCAGCATCAACTCCAGCCTGATGGTCCACCTGAGGAGCCACAGCGAGGAACGGCCCTACACGTGTGGGGAATGTGGGGAGAGCTTCAAACGCAGCTCCCACCTGCTGGGTCACCGSAAGATCCACACTGGGGAACGGCCCTATGAGTGTGGGCRRTGTGGGAAGGGCTTCAGAGACAGCACCAACCTCATCGTCCACCTGAGGAGCCACACGGGAGAGAGGCCCTATCAGTGTGGGGAGTGTGGGAGGAGCTTCAGCATCAACTCCAGCCTGGTCCGTCACCAGCAGATCCACACCGGGGAGAGGCCCTACGAGTGT